TCTCCTGCGAGATCATCGCGGAGCCCCTCGCGGAGCTGTCCACAGGAATGGGTGCGTTGGTGTCGTTCCCTGCCTCCTTCCGGGATGGAGAAACGGCTTCGCTTCGCAAGCCTGGCAAAGGGGACGGCTCGGACCCTGAGAACGACAACAGATACTTATCATTGCTCAGCCACTGGGGGGAAACAACTCCTCAAAACCTTCCTGGAATCTGCGACGTTGGATTTCGCCTCCGCCTTGCTGCCGGTCCAATTTGGAGCCTCCCATGGCGCTCTACACGGGACGCCATCGGCATCGTGGAGGAGATGATCAACCGTGTCACCTGCGCCGCTAACAAGCGCCGTAGCCATGCCTAGTCTCGCTGGATTTTGGCGCAAGCGCTGTTTGACCTGGGCAAGGCGATCGACAAAGTCGACCGTGAAACGCTCTAGGACACACTTGCTTCTGTGTCTGATCACGTGCGTCTCCACTTACTATTGGAGGAGGCCCGCAACGGCACTTACATCTTGTTGAAGGATACTCACACTGACCGCATGGTGCGGCGCCTCTCGATCCACCGGGGCGTGCGTCACGTGTCGGTGGAGGGCCCATACGTTTCGTTGTATTTTATGACGTCGACTTGCGGCTCATCCAGGGCGAGAGGGGTGAGGACAACTACCAGTTCGTGGCCAAGCTGGCCCCGCAGCTGAACAACTTTTTCGGGCTGGGATCGGATTGCGTGGACATGAAAGTCGGAGGGACCGGACGACCAGGGCGACAGGGAATTGTTCCACGACTTCAGCTGCGTGGAAGCATTCCTCGCCCTGATCACGCAGGTCTTGGTTCGGCAACGAGACGTGGTTGATGATTGCAAGCTGGAGGTTACTGCTGGCTGCTCTGGTGCTGGCGCGAAGGCCTTTAACAGGAGGCTTGAGAAAGGCAAAACAGGTAGCAGTAGCAGAAGTAGTAGTAGTAGCAGCAGTGGTAGTAGTAGTAGTAGTAGTAGTAGTAGTAGTAGTAGTAGTAGTAGTAGTAGTAGTAGTAGTAGTAGTAGTAGTAGTAGTAGTAGTAGTAGTAGTAGTAGTAGTAGTAGTAGTAGTAGTAGTAGTAGTAGTAGTAGTAGTAGTAGTAGTAGTAGTAGTAGTAGTAGTAGTAGTAGTAGTAGTAGTAGTAGTAGTAGTAGTAGTAGTAGTAGTAGTAGTAGTAGTAGTAGTAGTAGTAGTAGTAGTAGTAGTAGTAGTAGTAGTAGTGTAGTAGTAGTAGTAGTAGTAGTAGTAGTAGTAGTAGTAGTAGTAGTAGTAGTAGTAGTAGTAGTAGTAGTAGTAGTAGTAGTAGTAAGTGTAGTAGTAGTAGTAGTAGTAGTAGTAGTAATAGTAGTAGTACTACTACTCTACTACTATTACTACTACTACTACTACTACTATAATACTACTACTACTACTACTATACTACTACTAGCAGTGGTAGTAATAGTCGTAGTAGTAGGAGTAGTAGTAGTAGAAGTGGTAGTAGTAGAAGTAGTAGTAGTAGCAGCAGTAGTAGTAGTAGTAGTAGTAGTCGTAGTAGTAGTAGTAGTAGTAGTAGTAGTAGTAGTAGTAGTAGTAGTAGTAGTAGTAGTAGTAGTAGTAGCAGTAGTAGTAGTCGTAGTAGTAGTAGTAGTAGTAGTAGTAGTAGTAGTAGTAGTAGCTGTTCGTGCAGGTCGAGGGCGTGCGCATCACGGTCCGTGAACACGCTACGTATTTGGGCTCCCGCACTCCGATTTCGCTGGGGCGCCAGCGGTGGAGGCCAAGGCCAGGGTGAAGTCCGCATCCACAGCACACCATCGCCTCCTTACTCGTTTCTGGAAATGCCACGTCTTCGACTCACGGGCGAAAGTGGCGCTACAGGCAGCGCTCTTCCGCTCTATATCCTGATGTGCACTCTGGAGGCGAAGTTCTGGAAAGCTGCTGCATTCTTACATTTGGAAAGATTCCAGACCAAGTGCCTTCGGCACCTTGCACGCCTGCCCGCACACCTGACCCAGGTGAGATCTGAAGCAGTGCGTGAAAAATGCGATGTCCCCACGGTTGAGTCGTCCCTGAGACTCCAGCGGCCAGTGGATTTGCAAAGTGGTTAGCCCCGTCTTCCGCAACGATGATAACGACCCCCTCCTCGGCACCCTAAGAATACGATCCCATGGTCGCTGTCAGGGCCGCTTTCTCCGTGGGGTTCGAGTTCGAAGGGGGGCGGGTTGAGGGCCGGATGACGGTACGACAAAGTACTGCATGATCGAATCTGCAGTTGCTGCACGATCGCAGGGACGATGCTCTCCGCGGGGTTGCTCACCAGCTTGGTGTGGATCGAGGGTTGGATCAGCTTACTGTGTCTTGGCTTGGGTGGTTGGGCTCGGGTCCCGATCGGCTCCGTCAATATCATGCTCATATGTGTTTCTACTCTGTCGAGGGCCCTCTGGAGCCCCATGCACCGTGCCCTGAATAGGGCGTGCTGTGTCGCGGCCACCGGGGGCTCAGTATCCATCTCGCCCGCAAGCATAAGCTGGTCGAGTCCGTTCCTCTCGGCCAGCTCCAGCGTCCGCTGTGCCACAAGACGTTTACACGTCCCGATACCCTCATTCGACACCTCCAGCCCAGATGCAAGGCGGGGGTTGCTGCACTTGAAAGGCCCGCTAGCACTCCGCCTGTAATTCCAGTGGCCTCTGTTCCGGCTGCCCCCGATGCACTTGACAGCGCCGTTCGCCGCAATGATCTCGGCTCGAGCCTGGGTGCGGCACTCCCTGACGCACATGCCGCTCGCGCCAGCTCTGGACGTGGTCATGCTCGAGGCGATCTCGTCCCCGCCGCGCAAGACGGCCAAGTTCGAAGGAGGAGGCGCGGCCGCGACCGCGGTCGGCAGGCAGCAGCTTCCCGACTTCCCACGGCAGAAGGACCGAAAGGGCTCGGACAAGGCCAAGGGCAAGGACGCGGGGAAGGACAAGCGCGTGGACGAGGACGAGGACGACGGGGAGGGCGACCGGGTGCCACATCCGAAAGGGAACCAGGCATACGACGAGAGGGCCTGGGAGATGCGCGACGAAAACGTTGTGCTGACCGGGCACGAGGAGCACCATCTGCTGGCGGAGATGGCAGTCTTGGTAGAACCACCGTGCGCAAGGCCGCGCACGAGGCGGACGAGGCCGACGGCGCTGCTCAACTCCCTGATGTTCCGGCTTGCGAACCACATGGAGAAGCACAGGGAGGCCGTGCCCCCGCGCGTGGAGGGCGAGCACGGGGCCGAGGCGCGCGCGACCTCCGATAAGATGCTCTAGTGGCTCAAGCACGAGGGCGGCTCGGAGGAGCGAGCCCCGATCGCGGCCGCGCGGTGCTTCACCGTGCGCACGGAGGACCCCGACGGCATTGATGACACAGCCTGCTGCAATTGGATCTTCGCAGCCAATCGCGTGCCGCTGTTCCTGGAGATGTGGGGCATCTTCCAGGCCTTCAGCCTCTTGCTTGAGACGGGCTTCGCGGTTGGCGAGGACCACGGCACCAGATCCAAGTACGCCAAGGAAGTCTCTAAGATTGCTTTTGGGGCCAAGGGCAAGGGCAAAGGGAGGAGCGCCCTATTTCTGGCCAAGAAGTAAATCTGATAGCTCCCAGGAAAAATCATTTGGAAGTTCCCGCTTTGACCTCTGCTTGAACTGTGCCCGTTCTGCATGGCATGCGCATACGTCCCCTGTCGCCCGCCTTCGTGTGGACTTCGCGCAGAGGGTCGGCACTGAGGAGCGCTACGAGAATCGCGCTTCGCTTCTGGCCCTTCCTGGGTTGTTGCTCGCCTTGTTTGGCGTGGTCCGCCTGCCTGAACGCAATTTTGGCACGTGTCCTTACTTCTTGGTGATACCATCGATGCCAATGGACCGCAGGACTACACTCGAGCGTTGTGCGCTCCCAACGGTCAGACTAGAACTCGCCAGGTGCGCCGAGGGAGGCCGCAGAAGCTGCCCCCTCGTGCACCACGGCAGTGCCGGCTGGTAAGAGACCAGTCGCGTCGTGGGGCAGACGATCCATGATGGTTCAAGGCGGCTGCCGCCCGTCGATCACACAGAAACCTCATTGCACGGTCAGCGCTTGCAAGATATTTATGTATCTATATATGTATGTATATATGCGTATATATTAAATACATTCATACATACCTACCGACATACCTACCTGCGTACGTACGTACGTACATGCATACATACACACATACACACACACACACACATACATACATACATACATACATACATACATACATACATACATCAATCCATCCATCCATCCATCCATCCATCCATACATCCATCCATCCATGCATGCATGCATGCATACATACAGACAGACAGACAGACAGACAGACAGACAGACAGACAGACATACATACATACATGCATGCATGCATGCATGCATGCATGCATGCATGCATACACGCATACATACATACATACAGACACACACATACACATACAGAAACACACATACATGCATACATACATACATACATACATACATACATACATACATGCATGCATGCATGCATGCATGCATGCACGCACGCACGCACGCACGCATGCATGCATGCATGCATGCATACACACATACATACATGCATGCATACATAAATACATACGTACATGCATGCATGCATGCATGCATACATGCATGCATGCATGTATGCATGCATGCATGCATACATGCAAACATACATACATACGTACATACATGGAGAGAGAAAGAGAAAAACAAAAAGAGAGAGAGAGAGAGAGAAACAACAAAAACTGAAAACGGAAAGAAAGGGAGGACCGAGAAGCAAGACGCCGCAAACGGCCGACTGGTGACCAGCGGCCGGCACCGAGACACGGGCTACACAACCACGCCCGGACACACGCCAAGCGGGGGCCGACGCCTCCTCCGCGCGACCCTCGCCTTCCGGGACCTGGCCTCCGAGAGCCCTCGGTCACCGGCCGGGCCTCGGGCGGGCCCCCCCCCCCGCGGCCGCGGGCCCGCCTCGGCACCGGCGCGCTCGTCGGCTTCGCCGCCGTCTTCGCGCGGCCGGGCGTCCGGGGGCCCAGCTGGCGAGAGCGCGCGTGTCGGGCAGGCCCCCGAAGAAGACGGGGAGGGGGAGGCGCAAAGGGGGGGGAGACAGGGGGTGGAGAGGGGGGGGGAGAGAGGGGAGGGAGAGGGGGGGGAGAAGAGGGGGGAGAGAGAGGGGGGGAGAGGGGGGGGAGAGAGGGGGGGAGGGGGGGAGGGGAGGGAGACAAGCTAGGTGCGCGCGCGTCATATCTGACGTCCTACCCCTCCCTCCCATCCCTTACCATGGCGCTGATTTTCTCTATCCGCGGACTAGTGGGTGGTGGTGCGCGTGCGTGCGTGCGTGTGTGCGTGGTTGTGGTGGTGGTGGTGGTGGTGGTGGTGGTGGTGGTGGTGGTGGTGGTGGTGGTGGTGGTGGTGGTTGGTGGTGGTGGTGGTGGTGGTGGTGGTGGTGCTGGTGGTGGTGGTGGTGGTGGTGGTGGTGGTGGTGGTGGTGGTGGTGGTGGTGGTGATGGTGGTGGTGGTGGTGGTGCTGCTGCTGTGGTGCTGGTGGTGCTGGTGGTGCTGGTGGTGCTGGTGGTGCTGGTGGTGCTGGTGGTGCTGGTGGAGTGGGTGGTGGTGGTGTGGTGGTGTGTGTGTGTGTGTGCGTGTGTGCGCGTGTGCTGTGGCATGGCACGGGAAATGACGCCAGCGCTGCAGCGGGAGCACGAGTCGAAACGAGGCGCGGAAATGTGCAGCGCTGATGCCAGCGCTGCAGCGGGAGCACGATTCGGAACGAGCGGAAGCACGGAAATGAGGCCAGCGCTGCAGCGGGAGCACGATTCGGAACGAGCGGGGCCCGAAAATGAGGCCGGCGCCTCGGCGAGAGCAGCATTTTGAAAAAAAACACATGCGAAAACCAGTTTCCCGGGAATCCTGTGTAAAAAACAATACGCGGGGGGGTGTCGGATATCTTCGGGACGCCAGCAGGGGAAGTGGGAAAGTATTTTCATATTGTGTAAATGTGGAGGCAAAGGGGGGGGGAGAGAGGGGGGGGGGGGGGCGGAGGCGGGGGAGACGAGGAGGAGGGGGAGAGGGATGGAGAGGCACTCCAGGGGGTCCCAAGACCGAATGGTGACGGGACCCTGGAGGCCCCAGTCGCCCGAGATATCCTCGGAGGATTGGAGAACGACCACATTCCCAAAACCGCGCGGTCACCCCAGATCCCCACTGACTCACAACACGGTGCGGCCCCCGACGTTCGACTCTCGAGAAAGGCGCCGCGCGCAGAAGTCTGGGCTCAAATTCCCGAGAGGCAAAGCTCCAGCTAGCAGGCATGAGGGCCGCAGATTTTAGACGGGCGTTTTGTACACCCCTGGTTAGAGTTAAGAAACATGTACGAAGAGAAAGTCAAATTCACTCGAAGCGCTTCCTTAGGCAGTAGTCCAGTCTCAGCTAAGCCAAAATTCGGCGACCCCCCCCCCCCAGAAACAAAAATCAGAGAAAACGTCCAGGGCCTAGTCCAGCAGATTCTCCTGCAAGAACTCTGGAATCAATCACTGAAAGCTGTTTCTTTTTCTTAAGACTTCTGATTGGTGAAACAACACTGGTTTCACTTACTCCAAGTCGCTTGCAGCATACTGGAAGCAAGAGGAAGGAGGTGGAGGAGACAGGGGGGCCGGACTGGACCCAGGGGGTGTCGACGATGCCGCAGTGCACCCCCCTGTCCCGAGCTCCCTCCTCACAAGTCTTGTGAGTATCAATCGTGACTGCGTGGAGCGCCCCCTTGAAAGACGAGCGCACCAGGATCCTGCGATTCTGGCGAGCCCCATTCCGAGATATAATCTTGCCCTCACCCCTGGTTGCATCTACAACACTTGAACAAGGTTAAGCGAGAGCCCGGGTTGGAAAGAGGATCCTCACTCGCCCTCTGTGGCCGCTGCCCACATGGAAGACCTTTGGACGTACTGAATGATGCAGTGTCAGACTGAATAGGGCCCTGCGACGCACAAATAAATGCACACAACACATCACAGGATTCCCCATATGCTCTCATATTTCCTGGGCTTTTGTCTTCCCCCCCACACTTCCCATATTTTCCCATATCTTTAAGGGGATCGACGATTCATTGTGTCTGTGTGCGCCTTTTCCCTCCTGATGATTGACGCAGTGTCAGACGGGAGCCCCCTGTTGAGAATTCGCCGCCCTCTGTCCGCGGAGCCGCGCCCACAGACCGCATCATCGTCAGAATCGCCACCATCGTCGCCTGCATCGCCACCGTCGTCACTGCTCATCTCCTTGTCTTATGTCTTATTTTTTCTTTCTGGGGGGCAGCATCGTCACTGCCAATCTCCTTGTGTAAATGTTTTTTTTGGGGGGGGAGCATCGCAACTGCTCATCTCCTTGATTGGAGCACGAAGGAGGAGGAGGAGGAGGAGGCCAGCGTGGGATCGTCGTCCCACCCTACACCGTGACCCCACCTTCAGGCCTTGTGGGCCTATCGGAGGGCAGCTCTGGCGGACATCTCATTCGTGCGTGGCCAGGGAAGACCTTCCTGGGATGAACGAAACGACTGATACACATGGCATACAATATTGATTTCCTGTGGAAAAGGGAAGAAGGAGGAGAAGGAGGAGGAGGAGTAGAAGGAGAAGAAGAAGGACGATGCAAAGCTACCAAGCAAAGTGGCCCCAGCCGCCTTCAGGCAGGTCCGGTTGTGGAGCTCGAGGAGGTCGGTCATGTCCGGGCCGGCGCGGCAGTCCGCCATGCACTTCGCCTCCTTAGCGCCCCTGTTTGTTTGTGTGCAGCGTTCCTCCTCGTCCTGCTCCCTCCCTCCCTCCTCCTCGTTCCTGCCTTGTTCATTTTTGCACTCTTGAGCTACGGACAATACGTCGAACACACATCCCTCCCTCCTACCTCGTTCCTGTCTCTTTGCTCCATCCTCAAAAAACCGCCGCGAACAGCAGAACGAGAGACCATTCCTGAGATAAAGATCCTGTCATCAAAGCAATCAACCAGAATACCAATAGATCTCGTGGCCAACGCTTTCAAGCGCCGCTAAAATTCAGAATGCAAAAGCTTCCCTTGGAGCACCAAGTACCAACAAAGAGGGGTCGCATTGATGCATGTCCCGCGCAAACCCGCTCGAGCGCTTGATTGTCTGTCGGAATCCACATGCAGCGAGATCGAGAATTCCAATATTAGCCCTTTGGGCTCCATGGGAAGATTGGTATGTCATAGAACCCAGCATTGAGACGCATGCGCTTGAGCGGCAATGTTGATCCACAGCAATAGACCGAGACCTCTGGCGGACACCACAATGTGCAGCCCGCTGGAGAAACTCTGGGAACCCCAGCATGGGGGTACAGTTCAAAGTTCTGCAGAAGATCCGCCGGCCCCCGCTTGGTCACCAGGGGTGAGAAGGCGTGTGAGATGTGCTCTGGAGCTTCGCAACCCGTGGAGGGCCCCTCCGCCCTCTCACTCTTGCCCGCAACTGCAAAGGCTATGGCGTGAACACATACGCACATGCACATGCATCTCTTTATACATACATATTTACATATAAGACGCTACATCTGTATACCTATACGACCACCCTTCGGGTGATAAGGAGGTTGTGGTGGGGGGGAGGGGGGGAACCAACATCTGACTCAATCGATCTTACTATCGATCTCAGTCAACGGGACACCACGGGACACCACGGGACATCACGGGACTCTTGTCGATCTCCCTATCGATCTCACTATCGATCTCACTCAACGGAACACCACGGGACCCGGGACACCACGGGACACCTCGGGACACCACGGGACACCGCGGGACACCTAACGATCTCGCTATCGGTCTCACTATCGATCTCACGATCGATCTCACTCAATGGGACACCATAAGACACCACGGGACACCTCGGGACACTTCGAGACACCACATCGATCTCACGATTGATCTCACGATCGATCTCACTATCGATCTCAGTATCGATCTCACTCAACGGGACACCACGGGAGACCTGTCGATCTCATTATCGATCTCACTATCGATCTCACTATTTGGGACACCACGGGACACCGCGGGACACCTCGGGGCACCACATCGATCTCAGTATCGATCTCACGATCGATCTTACTACCGATCTCACTCAACGGGCGACAACGGGACATCACGGGACACCTGTCGATCTCACTATCGATCTCACTATCGATCTCACTTTTTGGGACACCACGGGACACCTCGGGGCGCCACATCGATTTCAGTATCGATCTCACTATCGATCTCACTATCGATCTCACTACCGATCTCACTATCAATCTCACTATCGATCTCACTCAACGGGACACCACGGGACACCACGGGACACCTGTCGATCTCACTATGGATCTCACTACCGATCTCATTGTTGGAGACACCACGGGACACCTCGTGGCACCACATCGATCTCAGTATCGATCTCACGATCGATCTCACTATCGATCTCACTCACCGGGACACCACGGGACACCACGGGACACCACGGGACACCACTGGACACCGCGGGCCACCGTCGGACGGACGGACGGGGGAGCAACATTTGTCTTGACTTCCCCCTGGCAACGGCGGGCTCATTCCTGGACACCACGGGACACCACGGGACACCGCGGGACACCGCGGGCCGCCGCCGGACGGACGGACGGGGGAGCAACATTTGTCTTGACCTCGCCCTAGCAACGGCGGGTTCATTCCTGGACACCACGGGACACCACGGGAAACCACGGGACACCACGGGACACCACGGGACACCACGGGACACCACGGGACACGCTGGGCCACCGCGACATGGCTTGGGCCCGCCGTTTCATTCTCCGAGATAACGCCTGTGACTGGCCCCGCCCCCCTCTCCCCCCCACCCTGGTCACGTCACGATTCGCGCTGGCGCCGTCTGCGCTGGCGCGAATCGTGACGTCCCCTGGCCCCCTCCCCCATCCACCTCCCCACCAAGTCTTGACCGTCCCGCGAATTCTGGGAAACCCAGACGTGGCCAGAGTGCTCCCCTTTCTTGGCCAGATCTGGGTTTCCCGCAACTCGAAAGTATGGGACAACCATGATTGGACAGCTGCCCTCCTCGATCCTCCCCCTGCTCCTTCCCTCCCTCCCTCCCTCCCTCCCCCGCTCCCTCCCTCCCTCCCTCCCTCCCTCCCTCCCTCCCTCCATCCCACTCCCTCTCTCCCTGCCTCCATCCCTCCCCTCCCTCCCTCCCTCCCTCCGCCCCTCGCTCCTTCTCCCTCCCCTCCCTCCCTCCTCCCTCCCTCCCTCCCTCCCTCCCGCTCCCTCCCTCCCTCCCTCCCTCCCTCCATCCCACTCCCTCTCTCCCTCCCTCCCCCGCTCCCCGGCGGCGCGCAGCTCGTAGCACTGCTCCCCGGCCGCGGCGCAGCAGCGGAGCTCCTGGCGGGGCCAGGGAAGGGGCCGCTTGCCCTGAGATCCGAGCGTTGCAGCCTTATCACAACTCGGCGGTGGACAAACCTCCCTTTAGCACACCTCCCCTTAGTGAAAACGGCCCAGGACCGAAACCGACGGACCTGGACCCGCAAAAATGACAGCCGCGACGCCCTCTCGCGAACCCAAAACGGCCGATTCCTTAATCGACATGTCACGGTAGGAGGTCTGTCCACCCGCGAACAACGGGCGTTTGCGCCTGGTTTCGGGCCCTGGGACCATCACATATTGATCCGGCTTTGGAAATGCCGCGGCAGGGCTCTGATCGTGAACCTTCGCGGTGTTTCATTTTTGTCGCCACGTCGGATCTCAGGGTGGGGGCCTATCTGGGGCTTTTTGTTACACCAGGGCTGCCAGGAGCAGCAAAGCTGCGCTCCGCTGGCGCGCTCGTCCCCCGATGGCTGGGCCGACGCTGGGCCGGCTTGGGCCAGCCGTTCACTGGGCGCGCCCGCGAGCGCCCACCCCCAGGACGGCAAAAAAACGAAATCATCAGACCGTTCACTGCAGGGCACGGATCGCCGCAGACTGCAGCAGGGCGGTGATCCTCTTCTCCGCGGTCGCGAAGTACTTGTCGTTGATCTCGCACACCCGCTGCCGCATCCTGCGGATCTGCGCCGGGTCCCGAGGCAGCTGGCTCAGCAAGAAGCCGGCGTCCAGCGGCGGCGCCTGGCCCGCCGCCCCAGCCCCGGGGCTCCTCGCGAGGCTGCCGCTCCTCGCCCACGTCTCCTCCTGCAGGAACACGGCGGCGCCCCTCCAGTCGATGAGCTCCTCGAAGGGCAGGGTCAGCCCGTCGGCGATGACCACGGGGATGGCGCACGCGCCGACCACCTCCGAGAAGCGGTAGTTCCACCGGCCGTCGCCGTGGGGCACCAGGGCGTACGAGGTGTTCAGCATCTCGTTGTACGTCACCCTGTCCTCGGGCTTGTACTTGTGCTTCCGGTCGAACAGCTCCACGACAACGCCGTCCGACCTGAAGTCGGCGAACGCTTTCTGAAGCTGCGCTCGCACGTGCTGGCTCACGAACCCCATCCACGACCCGTCCGTCAGCCTGCCGCGGAAAGTCATGAAATACTTGGGATCCTAGAGCGCAGACAACGGGGAGCCATCGTACCACTTCGGGGGGGTCATTGTCACGCCTCGTAACGGCGGCGCGTTATCATCCTTGCAGTTGTGGTCTCGCAGATCAAAGTTTACGTACATGAAATCGTCACGCTGTTCGATCAACTCCCTTGCGGAATCGCAATTGTCCTCTTTCGAGCATCTATCCAGACGCAATCCACGAACAATGACCAAGTAAGGTTTCGCCTTAGACCGCCGGGGTAAGCCGGCAAACTTTTGCAGTGAACGCCCGTTAAAACAACAAGTGACAGCGAAATCCGCTTCTTCTAAAGTGCCAACTCGGGCTGGGTGGCTCTGAAATCCGGTGGTATACATTTCGTCGAGGCTGCGGTCCATCATATAAAACTTCGGCGTCGAAACGCTGTTCCCAACGAGGAGGGCATGCATCTGCGGCCATACGCAAACCAGAAGCACATTCCGAATAAACCTGGTCATGTCAATGAGCCTGTATGGAACGGCCAGAATAAGAGTCTCAGAGAAGGGCTGACCCCTGAGCCAAAATGGCCACGGAGGGTCTATCTGGAGCGTCGTGGGGGCCTCCTGGGGGCCCTCTTTTGGGGGGCCTCGTGGGGGGGGCATCCTCCGCACGCTCTCGGCACGTCCGGCGCCCTCGGAGGCCGCCTCGTGGGGAGCCCCTCCGGCGGGGCGGGGGCGGGGGGCCCGAAGTGGAGGCCCTCCAGACGGCCTCGGGGGGCCCCCAAGGCAACCCAGGAGCCCATAACCAGCTATACGTGAAGGTGCAGCATCTTCTTGATATTTTACCATATCTACATATAACTTATACGTTATACGATCTACATACGCAGCCCAATCATCCACTGGTGTTTGTGAACGTTGGTCAGACAATTTTAAATCTTTATCTGCTCCCCGAAGCTCTGCCCTCTGCTGTGCGGGCGCTCCTCCTCGACCTCGGCCTCCGGGGGGCCCGTGCTCGGGCCCCGCGGGGCCCCTGCAGCCAGCCCCGGGGCAGCAGCGGTCGGGAGGCCCAGGGCCGCGGATATCGAGAGGACCACACTGGCGGACGTCCGGCGCCTCGTCGTCGTCGTCGGCGTCGGCGTCGTCGGCGTCGGCGTCGGCGTCGGCGTCGGCGTCGTCGGCGTCGTCGTCGTCGTCGGCGTCGGCGTCGTCGTCGTCGTCGGCGTCGGCGTCGGCGTCGGCGTCGGCGTCGTGGTCGTCGTCGTCGTCGTCGTTGTCGTCGTCGTCGTCGTCCCAATCCGACGACCAGGAGCCCCAACTGGCCCAAGAGGGTCCTCGAGGGGTTGTCCGAGAGGGCTCCAGCCCAGACCCCCGACGTCATGATCTTCTCACGGCGTCGACCCCGAGAGGCCCCGACACCCGTTCCTTGGGGCCTGGGGCTGGCTCTTCGTCCGGACTCGTTTCTGTTGACGGGCCCGGGGCCCGGCCGAAAACAATGAAAAAAACCTCCCGTCGCATTTTTTTTGGCATGACTCGAGGTGGCTACTCCTCCTCCTCCTCCTCCTCCTCCTCCTCCTCCTCCTCCTCCTCCTCCTCCTCCCCCTCCTCCTCCTCCTCCTCCTCCTCCCTGGGAGGGCTGCCCAGGAGAGCCCCCGCAGGGAGTGCCGCCTCCCCCCTGGGTGGCCGGCGGCCAGAGGCACGCGCCGAGGCGTCTCGGGCGGGGGCGGGCCCCCCCATCGCGGGGGGGCCCCCCCCCAGACAAGCCCCGGGGAACTGCCCTGCCCGTGGGATGCACAGAGACATCCTAATACTATGTGTCCGCCTTGGAGGCGCGCGTCCGACCCGAACATATAGTATACCCATCTCGTAGTATATCGTTTCTCGAGCGGTGTGGCCAGAAGGCGCCCGCCACGACGCGTATACTATAAGATTTCTCTGTTCGCGCGTCGCCTCTGGGGGGGCGACGAACACATAGTATAAGTATGTTGGGGGGACGCCGATGCCCTGCTCACGACAGAAGGAGAAAACCCAAGGCTCGCTGGCGACGGGTTCCCTCCCGCAGAACTGCGAGAGCCATTCCAAAACCCTCCCGAAGCCCTCCGACAACTCTCCGGGAAGGGCTCCTGGAGGCTTTGTCGGAGGATTTCGGGAGAGCTTCGGCTGCTTTGAGAGCAAACCAGTACCCAGCGAACCCTGGACTCTCTGATGCTAAACCTCTACCTACGCGTGGGCGCAGTGCTCAACGGGGGAATGGATACGAATCCAACCTCTGGGGACCAAGTCTTTGTCCATACACTGCCCCCGCCGGTGCCCTGAGCGGACAGCAACAATCCCAGATTGGTTATCCAGCGTCTTAGCTCGTTTCACAATACGGAGTCCCCGAAGTCCCGCCCCCGTCCCCAGGGCGAGCTGCTTCCTTCCGAGGCGTTCTTGCACTGTCCTGGGCCCCGGAGGCCGAGAGCTGGCCAAAGCCTCCCGTCGTGAGGTCTTCCACGACGCCAGCAGACGTCTGGGAATGAGGACGAGGGCGACGAGGAGGGGCACAGTCGGGGCCAGGGAGGAGAGGAGAGACGCGGCGGCGGACTGATGACGGCACACACCAGCGCCAGAGACGTGTGCCAGGGACGAGAGCCTGCAGATGTAACCACGATCTCGTGGACAAGTCCTGTCAGGGGTCCGTGCAGGGGAACTCGACGGAGTGCTGCTTTAGCGGGCGGGCGAGCGTAGCGGCGCTCCCGAAATCCAACAACAACAACAACAACAACAACAACAACAACAACAACAACAACAACAAAAGACCAGACGGCACAAGAAAAGGCCAGCGGCAACGGAACGCAAAATCAACAGGGCCAGGGACAGGTCCTTGCCATCGCTCGGACGTCCACTGTCCGTGCATTGTTTGGTTCGTACGCTTGTCCTCAAGATGGTCAAATATTTTCCAAGATGATCCAGATGTGTTGGCGCTGGCCTCGCAAAACAGAATGCTCACGCCTGAGCGATGCCAACGGTCCGGGACACAAAGGCCCCGAGCAGCCTTGAGATCCAAGCGCTGCATTTGTTTTACACCATGCGTGTTCGCCTGGTTTCGGCCACCACGGACACGCTTCCCCCCGGCCCCCCCTGTGGAGACTCTGGTAAAATGAACTTGTGATTTCTATTCGAACCCTCTAGCAAAACGCTATATGGAATCAATGGGTTTCCTCTGGTTTTCCTTGTTTCTGTGATCCTCGTCTTCTCGAGCGTCCGACGCTCCAAAACGGCCCACGAATCCCCGTAGAACGCGCCTAAACTGCCCAAGAGGCCCCTACGAGGGCCCTGGGACGGTCCAAGAGGGTTCCAAGACGGCCCAAAGAGAGGCCTCCCAAGAGGGCCCCAAGAGAGGCCGAGTCTGAGAACACAAACCGAAAGTCCAATCTGTCCGCCCCAAGAGGCCCCCCAAAAGCCCCAAGAAGCCCCCAAGCGGCCCCAAAAAGGACCGAATAAGCCCCAAGAGGCCTGAAAAAGGCTCCAAAACGGATCACAAAACGCTTCAAACTGCCTCCAAGTGGCTCAACCAGGCCTCGAGACAGTTTCCAAGACGCCCGCAAGAATCCCTAGATAGTGCCCAAGAAACTCACGACGCGTCAACCGTGGACTCCCCATCTCTTCTGGGGGTCGGCGGAATGGCGTAAGCCTCTTGAGTAGCACAAGCAGTCATCTACAGATACATATGTCTATATGTATGTGCATACGACACTGTATACCTGGCGATAGTAATATTAAAGCAAGTGTCGGCGACAGGCTCCGCGACAACAGTGTGATACTGTAGCATTCGAATGGGATGCTGAAGTCTGGGGGCCAAGGATGATGTCACAACAACACCCCGCGCATGTTGGCCGCTCCGCCAACGACGGGCAATCGAAGACGCCTACACACTTTGCACGAATCCAGCACTCGCCCTTCGGTCGGTCATTCAAAACGGCTCAGCTCGCTTGCAGGATGTCAGTCCAAGATGCAGATGTTTAAGTGGCTGATCAGACCAGTGGCCCATGTAACCCCCTTATTCGGATATTGCTGGTTGTTGTTCATCTGCTCAGGGCCTCACCGCGTGTAGAGATATATGCCCATCCAGCTTGACCACTCCGCAACAATAATTTGGAGGTCCGTCGCTGTGGTAGGTTTTGATTGAGTCTAGCCTCGTACAACATGTGGTTATGTGATTGTTGTAATGCCGCGGAAGGGGGGTCCTCTGCCCCTGAGTTAGATCTGTGAATCTGGAATATAGGCGCCACCGCAATTTCTTCAGGTACTTCACTCGCGCGCGTCGTGGAGGGTTTTCCCCTCCCCTCCTCCTCCTCCTGCTGCTGCGCTCGCTCTGGAGGCGGAAGCCCCTTTCACCCTGCCATCCCCCAGCGTCCCCCTCCCCATACAAGCAGCGAAGGAGTAGGATCGCCAAGGGGGGGCGGGGGGCGGCGGCACCCTCGCCCCCACCCCATGGCGGCGTTAGCACGCTGGAAGGTGGGGGCCGCAGCTTCGCCCTCGGCGCTGCTCGTCGAGGGGCGCCGCCTCCAGCCCCTGGCCGACGCCGTCTGCGTCGACGCGGAACTCGCGCGCGGCCTGGTCCCCGTGGTGCTCGCATGGGGGTGCCACAAGCGTTCTGAGGCTGCTGCTCGCAGGGTGGCCGGTCCCTACGCAAAGGCCGAAAGAGCCGGAGGGCAGTGGATGGCCCGATGCTGGCGCGGTGGATCTTGAAACCTCAGCCTCGCCACCAGCTAGAATGAAATAGCACTGATCCGATCGTGCCGTGTCGTCCGTTCGTCGTGGCCCCGACAAGCGTCGCAAAGTTTCAGAAGGAACCTCACTTCCCCATCATGGGGCTGCGCATGCTCAGAAACCGACATGCGTCTTGCAAGCGCGCGCATCTCTCGCCGATACTGTTCACTTACCTCAGTGACCTCACGAGACTTCGCGCTGTCAACCATCTTCAGCTGCTGCGCCGCCGCAAGGTCACCATCCGCTTGACTACCGCGCTTCCCAGGTTTGTAGTTGAGCCCGGAGCCAAACTCCAGCATGACGCGATGGACAATACGGAACACGTTGCGGATGCAGTCGGGTTCCTGGTCCCTTGGCAAGGAAACCAGAATCGCGGCGTCGACGGCGAAGGATACATCACCCGCCGCCGCGGGCTCCGCCGTGGGCACAAGCATTTTGGTGAGTGCCAGTGGTGGGTAGTGTGTGAGGTCGAGTGCTGCGAGCTCCTCGCGGATTCTAGTTAACAGGCGCTTGAAGGCCGCGCAGAACACTAAGTCGGCCAGGGCGTCGCCTGGGCGCGTGCCCTTTCCGAGGCCGCCACATGAGCGCTGCCATGCACGATGAAGTGGGTGGCCTTGTGGGCTTCAAGTCGTGAGGGCCCCCCTCAAAGATGTTCGGGGTTTCGGGCTGTCGCAGGATCTCGGTGGTGACGTCCCTTGCGGGTTGACATCAGGGCTGCGATGTCTTCTTCGTCATGCGCTTGCTCCGTGACCACGAGGTGCCGCAGCATCGTGTGGAAAGCGTCTACGAGATCAATGGCAAAAGCCTGCCCGACGCGCCCTTTTGTTCGTGGAGGCGGAAGAACGTGCTGACCATCTGGTTGGCCATCGTGCAAGGTCCATGCTTTCGACATCCAATCCGTGTGTCGCTACACCGCCCTCGGATGAAGACATGATGATGCTTGGAGACTGTCGTGCTAAGCTCGATGTTTCGCGCCGTGCCAGGGTCATGGGTCGCGGCCCCCGGTTTCGGGATGCCGACTGCAACGCCATGCTTCCATGACCTGGGCTCCTGACAATGCAGAGCGACCTTGGTGAATGGCGGGTGGTACAGCCGGGCCAGAGGCTTCTTCCTCCTCCTCCTCCTCCCCCTCCTCCTCCTCCTCCTCCTCCTCCGCCTCCTCCTCCTCCTCCGTCCCACTCGACCAGTCTCCCCTCCATTTGCTGGCCGGCACCAGAGGCACGCATGCAGGTCTTGATTAAGTGCGGCGCGAGAACTGGGGCGGAGGCGAGGGCTTTTGGCGGGGGCGCGGTCAGGGACGAAGAGGAAGACGAGGACGAGGAAATGCAGATTCGGAGGTGGACAGAACCCCCCTTTAGCAAAACACCCCTCGGTGAAAACGGCCCAGGGGCGCAGGCCCGCGCAAACTGTGGCCGCAAAGCCTTCTCGAGAACCGAAGAAAGGCAAGTCGCTGATCGACCTGGCAGGCAGGGGGCTCCATCAAACTCCGAGCCAAGACTCCGACGTCACGATTCTTGTCATAGCGTCGACCCCCAGAGGTCTCGACCCACTCCTCGGGGCAAACTGTTCACCCCGAATCGTTGACGGCCCCAAGGCCCGGTCAGGGCCCCCCGGAGGCCGAGAATTGCGAAAAACATCCTGCCGTGAATTTTTCACGACTCGAGGGGGGTCTGGGGGAGAGGCGGGGCGAGGAGGGCTTGGCAGGAACCAGCGCTCGCGCGAGCGCCCGCCCGCTCCAGGCAGCTCTCGCCCGAGCCCGCGCAGGGTGGGGGCGTAGGAGCCGGCGTCGGCGCCGCAGTGGCGCCAACCTCGGGGGGGGGGGGGGGCGCAGGGCGCTTCGAGGGGAGCGTGTGCATGTGTCGGCGACAACGCAGGTTACCCGGCGGGGGCTGGGGGGAGGTGCCAGCCGACGACTTCGGACAAGCGCAACCGACAACGTCAGGTCATCAGGGAGGGGGGCAGAGGTTCGGAGACCCGCGTGGGTTTCTTGGGTCGGCGCTGCACCCCGCCGGGAGGAGGGAGGAGGGAGGAGGGAGGAGGAGGAGGAGGGGGAGGAGGAGGAGGACGCCTCTGGCGCCGCCCGTGGCGCGCTCCTCGCGCCACGGCGGAAGGGGGGGGTCCAGCACCAGTCCAAGGAAAGCACGCGGACCTCGGAAGCGTTATGCTTGGGTACAGCCTGTCCTTCTTCGAAGCAGAGCAGCAGATCCTGGAGGAGAGGGGTCCCAAGTCCTTCGCCGTCGTCGGACCCGAGAAGCCTCCACAGACCCTGGGACCGTCAGAAAAAAGCGCTCAGGATGAAGAGCTGGCCACGCCCCGGACGCGGCCTGGAACGCCAGGGACGCTGGCCCAGGACGCCCAGCACGCCAGCCTGGGACGCCAGGGGCGCCGGCCGGGGACGCCCAGGCAGTACACGACCCAGGCGCCTCCGACGACGGCGGCGGCGGCAACGGCGGCGGCGCCGAAAGACGGGCGACGGACGAATGACGGACGACGAATGACGGACGACAGAAGGGACAGAGGGGAGGTTTCTCCTCCATAGGACATCTATTCGGAATTTGATCGATTCGATTTGCCGGATTTGAAAAATTTCGAGCCCGCCCTCTGCAAGCCAGATCGGAAAAAAGTCGGATCAGAAAGCTGAGCCGGATCGGTAGGTTTGCAGACGGCTTCCGATGGCGTCAGGCGGGCCAGGATGCCATCAAGACGGCCCAAGACAGCTCCAAAATGGCCCCCCCAAGAGGGCCTCCAGGAAGGCACATCGAAGTCAAAATCATTGATTGCCCGCAGGTTGATTAAATGATTGTGGCATTTGCTTCTTGTCGGCCTTCCGACGGCCCGAGACGGCCCAAGAGCCCCCAAAGGTCGCCCCACGATCGCCCAAGAAGCCTCGAAGGTGGTCCCAGAACGGCCCAAGAGGCCCCCAAGACGGCCCCAAGAGGGCCCCAAGAGGGCCCAAGAGGCCTCCAAGACGCCCAAGATGGCTTCCAAGACGGCCTTGGAGCACCCAAAGAGGGCCCCAAGTAGGCCCAGAGGCCTCCGAGACGCCTTCCGACGGTGTCAGACGGGCCAGGAATGCCCCAAGACGGCCACAGAGGACCCCGAGAAGCCCCCAAAGGCGCCCAAGAGGCCCGAGGAGGCCCCACAAGATGCATCCAAAAAGCTCCCAGGAAGCTCCCAGGAGGCCCCAAGAGTGCCCCCAGAGGCTCCCGAAGTGCCGCCGCCTCCTCCTCCCTCCTCCTCCTCCTCCTCCTCTCCTCCTCCTCCTCCTCCTCCTCCTCCTCCTCCTCCTCCTCCCTCCTCCCTCCTCCTCCTCCTCCTCCTCCTCCTCCTCCTCTCCTCCTCCTCCTCCTCTCCTCCTCCTCCTCCTTCCTCCTCCTCTCTCCTCTCCTCCTCCCTCTCTCCTCCTCCTCCTCTCCTCCTCCTCCTCCTCCTCCTCCTCCTCCTCCTCCTCCTCCTCCTCCTCCTCCTGGTCTTCCTCGCCATCCTCCCCCAAGTGTTCCGCGAAGGGTTTCTACAACGGCTGGGGCAACACATGGTCCGATAGCTTGGCAGAGCTCTTGACACAACGCTCGGCCACATGGGCGATTCCAAAAGGCAGGGGGCGGCGGTGATTCGCCGTAGGCGTCTTCGATCCGCCACCCAGTGTTGATTCATCACAGGGGTGCCTGGCGTGCAATGTCTTCGACGTTGTTGGTTCTTTTCAAGACTCCACCTGGCGTTACGGCTCATTGCGCTGGCCACCCGGAAAGCTCTGGGTGGTGCTGTTGGCAAGGGTTGTTCCACTCCGGATGGCTCCAAGATGCCGCAAGATGGCCTCCAAGACGGCCAAGATGGCCTCCAAGACAGCCAAGATGGTCCCAGATGGTGTCCAAGACGGCCCAAGAGTCCAAGCTGCCTCCAAGTTCGCCCAAGAAGCCTCCAAGACGGTTCAAGACGGCCCCAGAGGCCGCCAAGAAGGCTCCAAGAAAACCCAAGAGCCCTCCAAACGGTCCTCCAGGAGAGGCCGAAGATGCCAAACTCATTGGCTTTCCGTAGGTGTTTGAAGAATGTTGGCATTTGCTTCTGTTCGGCCTTCCGACGGCCCAAGACGGCCCAAGAGGCTCCCAAGAATGCACCAAGATCGCCCAAGAGACCTCCAAGATGGCCCCAGGACGGCACAAGAGCCTCCCACAACAGCCCCCAACGAGCCCCAAGACAGCCCAAGAGGCCTTCAAAACGCCCAAGATGGCCTCGAAGACTGCTTTGGAGCAGCCAAGATGGCCCCAAGAGGCCCCCAAAACGCCTTCCGACGGCATCTTGGGGGCCAGGAACGCCCTAAGACGGCCGCCAAAGAGGCTCCCAAGAAGCCCGCAAAGGCCCCCAAGGAGGCCCCACTAGATGCATCCAAAAAGCTCCCAGGAAGCTCCCAGGAGGTCCCAAGAGTGCTCCCAGAAGCTCCCAAAATGCCGCCTCCTCCTCCTCCTCCTCCTCCTCCTCCTCCCTCCTCCTCCTCCTCTCCTCCTCCTCCTCCTCCTCCTCCTCCTCCTCCTCCCTCCTCCTCCTCCTCCTCTCCTCCTCTCCTCCTCCTCCTCCTCCTCCTCCTCCTCCTCCTCCTCCTCCTCCTCCTCCTCCTCCTCCTCCTCCTCCTCCTCCTCCCTCCTCCTCCTCCTCCTCCTCCTCCTCCTCCTCCTCCCTCCTCCTCCTCCTCCTCCTCCTCCTCCTCCTCCTCCTCCTCCTCCTCCTCCTCCTCCTCCTCCTCCTCCTCCTCCTCCTCCTCCTCCTCCTGTCCCTTTTGCTTATAATAACTCCCCCCTGTTGCACCCCCGAGGCTGGTCGAAAGAGCGGGCCAGGCGTTTTGCCTGAGACTTACTCACCATGTATGACACCTGACGCTTAAACTTGGCAACAGCTTCACGATTGGAGGACGGGCCGTTTTCAAAATGTGGCTCTCGCATTAGCGCTGCGAACATTCGCCGTAAAGAGTTGAGAGAACTTCACAGATTGATGGTTGGGTCGCTTCCAACATGTGGCTCTCGCCTTCCCCCCGCGCACATTCTTCTTAAGACTGTGCACGAGCTTCACGGATTGAGGGCGGGTGGTTTTCAAAATGTGGCTCTCACCTTCGCGCCGCGCACATTCGTTCTTAAATCTTGGAAGAGCTTCACGGATTGATGGGCGTGTGGTTTTCAAAATGTGGCTCTCGCCTTAGCGCCGCGTGCGTTCGTTCAAAGTGTGTGCAAGAGCTTCACGGATTAAGGTCGGTTCGTTTTCAAAATGTGGCTTTCGCCTTAGCGCCTACGCATTCGTTGAAACACGTGCAAGATCTTCACGGACTGATGAGCGGGTCGTTTTAAAAAATATGACTCTCGCCTTAGCGCAGCGCACATTCGTTTTAAACAGTTGCCAGAACTTCACTGATTCTCGGGCTAACGTACCAAACATGGCGTTTGGGAACGATTCAGTGTTGTCAAGGCGCGACAGTTACGTCGACTCGCCGTGTTGAAGTCCCAGGACTGGCGTTCTGGCACGATTCAGGATCGCCAAGACTTGACAGTCGGGTTAACTCGTAGCGCTGTAGTCCTGTGAATGGTGTTCTGGCACGCTTCAAAATGTTCACACGGATGCCCCCCAACGGGGATATTCCCATGACCCCTTGTAGGGACCTATGAAGAGGGATCGTGGAGGGAGGGGGTATTTCAGCATCGTGGATGAGTCTTGGTTTTACACTTGTCCTCCTCCTCCTCCTTCTTCATCTCTCCCCCCATCCTCCTCTTCCTTCCCCCACGTGTTCCCCGAAGGGTTTCCGCAACGGCTGGGGGAACGCATGGTGCAGTAGCGTGCCCAAACTTAGCCCGAACATTTCGCCACATAGGCGTATGCTAAAAGGCAGGTGGCGGCGGTAGGAGTCTTCGGTACACATGGATATGAATAGATGTAGATATAGATGTGTATATATACATGTGTGCACACACATTCACATACCTAACTATGTTTGTCCAAACGACATCTGTGAACACGCAGACACTCTTGATTCGCAGGAACAAGCACCGCCCGAAAACCTCGAGCCTCGGTCCTCCCGCCTCGTCGTCCTCCGACTTCCCAGCCTCGGGTCGGACGCAGGGGGGGGGGGGGAGCGGATGGGGGAGAGGGGGTCCGCAGGCGCCAGTGCGCCGACGAGGTGCGCCCGGCGGCGGGACCGAACCAGCTGCGCGCCGCAGATCTCGTGTACACAGTCGGAGCAGGGACGGAGGAGCATCCCTCAGGAACACGAGACCCTCCACCGGGACAGCAGAACCATCCTTCATGGCACCCCCGCCCCCAGGATGCGCAAGAGAACGCAGCAAAGACGAAGAACCTTAGGGTACCCTCCCCTGGCCGACCTCAATATCATACCTCGGTTCGGCCGTACCCATCCCAGCTTTCCCTATCCCCCCGCCCTTTCCTCCGACCCGACTCTCCCGGGTCGCGTCCTGGCTGGGATCCCGAGGGCGCACCCAGCCGCGACGGCGAGACCCTCCTGGACTCCTCGGGCCTTCGACGTGGAGCGTCCGACCTCCCTGTAGTGAAAGCGGCCTAGGGAAAAGACCCGACGCCCCAAAAAAATATGGAGCGGCGGGATTTGGGCAGTGTTCGGCCTCCTGGGGCCCTCGCCGGGCCCAGGGACCGTCAAAAGACGAGTCAGGGCCGAAAACTGGCCCCCGGGAGGTGGTCCGGACCTCCGGGCCCCCACGCATCGGAAAAAAATTGGCGCAGCCGGACGTCTGGATCACGGGGACTCCGCAGGGGACTCCCTGGGGGCTTCCAGGGCCTTCGTCGCCCCCCCCCCATACCTCTGAGTTTCGGCACGCCCGAGATGGGCGCGGGCAACATGTGCACGGTGGCATACAGCACACGCATCCAAAACACACGGCGGCCGCTGTAGGGCAGGCGCCTTGCTGCCTCCAGTGGACAGCTTCCACGGCGGCACCCGCAGCGGGTCCTGCTCAGACTGACCAGGAAGTGGCTTCGGCCTTCGTCACCATTCTTTCTACCGAGTTCGTCCGACCCGACCAGCCATCCTCCCGCCCCCCCCGCCTCGAAGCCTGGAGCCCCGCCCGCCGCCGCCGCGCCGCCTCCTCCGCGGGCAGGGGGCGTGGGGGGAAGTGGCCGCGGGGCCGGCCGCTCGGGAAGCGAGGAGCGAGGACCATCCACGCTATTCCTCCGGGGCGCTGGCGACGGAAGCCTGGGCGGATCTCGAGCGGCAAAGGCGCCGTCTGCACCCAGCGCAAGCTGACCGCGCTGGCGGGCGCCATCCGAACATCCTGGGCTCCCTGGGAGTCCAGGATCTCTGGATCTGGGCCAGATCCCCGGACACAGCTATTTTTCCACGACGTGAGCACAGAAACGTCTGGACCCCTCTCCTGAAACCAGTTTTTCATCTCGAACCGTTTCGACGGTCCCGCGGCCCTGCGAGGGCTCCCAGGGGCCCACGACAGCGAGAACCCTAGGCATGTCTGGGCATGCACACAGGCCCTGGCCAACGCCTATCCTAGCCTTCGGGTGCGCGCCCAGCAAGGAGGAGTGCGCGAGCGCAGCACCCGCCACTCACCACGGGGGAGGGGGGGGCCGTCGGGCACGGGCGCGCCCTCGCGGTCCGCCGGCGGCCCGCGGGAAAGGAACGCTAGGCCCACGTCCCGCATCGTCAGGAGATGGTCGGTCGTCGTGGCCCTGGAAGCCATCATTTTGAAAAAATACAGCCACGGGGCCCTCCTCGTCGACGACTTCGCCGTGACTTGCCGCGAGGCGGGCGGCGGCTCTCCTCTCTCAGATCTGACCGACTCTCCGGGGAAGCCACGACCTGCGGCCCTGCCCCATTTCTAGAGGAAGGAGCGGCATGATCATGAACTTCTGGAGGTCCGCGCGGAGTTCTCGGATCGGTGCGGGGCCCCCCTGGCGGCGCCTCCGACGTCACCCGTGGCGCGTGGAGCGCGCCAGGGAGGGAGTTGAGCGCCGATCCTGGAAGTCCGTGCGGAGCTCCGAAAGTTCATGCTTTCAAGCTGCTTTTCCTTTCTCGGCCAAGAGCCCTCGCGGAGACCAGGGACCTTTGGATACACCGCAAGCAGATGCGATCGAGACGCCTGCTCGTGATCTGACTACCTACCAGACCACCCCAACCCAACCCGAAGACCCGAATTTGACCCGAATTTCGGGTTGGGGGGGTTACGGGTTCCATGTGTTTTTTCAACGTTCCCCGACCCCCCCCCACTGGAAATCGAGGATAAATTTGGGCCTTCGGGTTGGGTTGGGGTGGTTTGGTGGGGTGGTGATGATCTGCTTCTCAGCGATACGGCTCCGAATCTCGGGCCCCCCGTGGGCGGGGCAGTGGGGATCATAGGCCGTGGGAGGGCTCATCGGCCATGGTTCCAGCGCTAGGGAGTCCAAGCGTTTCGGAGAGGGGGCTGATGAGGAGAAGAGGGAGGAGGAGGAGGAGGAGGAGGAGGAGGAGGAGGAGGAGGAGGAGGAGAAGAGGGAGGAGGAGGAGGAGGAGGAGGAGGAGGAGGAGGAGGAGGAGGAGGAGGAGGAGGAGGAGGAGGAGGAGGAGGAGGAGGAGGAGGAGGAGAAGAAGAACGACGAGGACCATTCTGGCCCCTTCGGGGGGGTGTTCCCCACCACCCGCGAGAGGGGGGGCCGGCCCGAGCGCGCTGTCCGCCACGCGGCGGACGGCACGCCGTGCGACACGTTCCCCACCACATGCTTCACGATCCACGTGAAGTACATTACGGTCTACGGGAGCATCACCAAGATCAGCGTGATATGCATCAAGATCCACGCGAACATCATCAAGATCGACGTGAAACACCTCGAGATCATGGGAAGCCAAGGCTTACGAGAGCCACCCACACCACGTGGAGATATCCCGGCAGCCATGCCGAGACCAAGCACGACCAGCGGGACCTGCCCGAGCAAATGCGGTTCAGCAACGCGCCAGGTCCTGCATCCGCAACGGGCTACAACCGCAGCCTGGCGACATTCTGACCATCGCCACGGCCTCCTTCATTATAGCGTCGTCTGCACGCTGGCCCAAGGTGCCCGACAAACCAGAGGAGGCAGAGGAATCGGAGGGGGCAGAGGTGGAGCTGGAGGAAAGGAAGGAGTGCCAACGCTTCGGCTGGGACCCCCTGACGCCCCCTCCTTCGACCCTGAGCCGCACGTTCACGAGCGAGGCCTCACCAATGCCTGCGACGACGAGCTCAAATGGGAGCGCGACGACGAGCGCGACGACGAGCTTAAATGGGGGAGGAGGAGGGGGAGGAGGAGGAGGAGGAGGAGGAGGAGGAGGAGGAGGAGGAGGAGAAGGAGGAGCAGGAGGAGGAGGACGACCACGTTGGCTGCTGGGAGCGCGACGACGAGCTCAAGTGCGCCGAGCTCCCTGGCCCGCTGACCCTCCCGTGCCCGGCCGGCGAGACCGGGGCGGCTGCGACGACGGGGGGGCCGCCCGCGGAGCAGCCGCGGGCAGAGCCTCGAAGGCCACCCGCGGGGCTGCAGGCGCCGCCTGCTCGGCTGCGGGAGCCACCACCGAAGCTGCGGGGGCCACAGCCTGAGCCGCGAGCGCCACGGGAGGCTCCGCGAGAGCCACCGCCCGCGCCGCGAGGGCCACAGACGGAGCTGCAGGGGCCACGTTGCGGAACAGGAGCACCGCAGGCAGACCTGCCGGGGCCACCAGCCGAGCTACGAGGACCAGCGGAGGAGGAGGAGGAGGAGGAGGAGGAGGAGGAGGAGGAAAAGGAGGAAAAGGAGGAAGAGGAGGAGGAGGAGGAGGAGGAGGAGGAGGAAGAGGAGGAGGAGGAGGAGGAGGAGGAGGAGGAGGAGGAGGCCTGCTGCCGCCGCCGCCGAGGCCAGATGACATTTGTTCCACGGTACGTCATGCTCGATCAAGCTGCAGCGATGAGTGCAGCGGCACAGACGATTGGACAGAAGATTGAAACGGTCAGCCTGCAAAACCCGAGACTTTGACGAGGGCGCAACCTTACGCGCGATGGTGGGGGGGCTGGGTACGCGAGGAAAAAAACGGAATGGCATTGGAATGCAAAGGTGGTGGCCTCTCTAGCTCTGGCATGCGGCAATCGACGACGAAGTAGTGAGCATGCCTGCTGCCGCCGCCGCCGCCGAGGCCAGATGACATTTTCTTTCCGGGCACAACGTGCCCGATCAAGCTCCAGCGATGGGTGCAAAAGCACAGATGACTAGACAGAAAACTGAAACGATCAGCCTGCAAAATCCGATACGAAACCAGGGTGCAATCTTACGCAAACTTGCCGATCATTCCTTGCCCATCTTGAAAGCGACACACTACAAATCGACCGCTGCTCAAAAAAAGCAGGATCGCCTTCGAACCACCGCGAGCGCGATCGAAACAGAGGGCGGGGGCCAGACACGGAGCACAGGGGCACTCCTGTGCGGTGTTCGTTCAGCAGCCCCCACCGCTGGCCAGCCCACGGATAGAGGCGCGCGCCCTCCTGGTCTGGAAACAGAGCTCGCCCTGGCACCGAACAGACAGAGACAGCAAAGAAACGCGATCGCCCAGGCAGGAAGTGAACGGGGTAGCGAAGGCCTCTGAGAGGCGCGGGAGGAGCCAAAGACGCGGTCGGGCAGACTTTTTCCAAAGCGACTGGACGCTGGAGGACGTGAGCTCGAACATGCTGCAGCTAAGCGCGGCCAGAATGTTGCAAGCTCGAATGGCACTTTGATCCGCCGGATGCGTCACATCCGGTAAGCCCATCACAAGTTGATCGCTTCCAAGACGAAAGGGGAGGACAAGGCGCGGCGCGCCTGGCTCAGTCAGGACGCGCAAAGGTCTGGCGCCCCTGGCCCTGATCCGGGTTTGGCAAGGCGCCCCCGCGAAGACGCCCCACGCCAGCCCAGACAAAATCGACCCCTTAAGCAACTGTGGGGTCGGCCGCTTCGCGAGGCCCCACTGGGCACCGCGGCGGGGGCCCTATACTCGAGCACGACGAAGCCTCGCTCCTCACACGACCCCGGCACCGCGACTGGCCGGGGCGCGAGCGCACGCCTCGCGAGGGAGGCCCGCTGCGGGGCCACCGCCGCGAACCCTCTGACACGACCGCCGGGCGGCAACCGCTGCAGCGGCTCGCCCGCTCGGTCGACCTCCCGGCGGCCCCCGAGGCCGGAGCCCCGGCGCGCCGAAGCTCGCCGGCGCCCCGGCCGCCCGCAGCGCCCCCCGCTGCCGCGCCCGGTCGCGGCTGGGCCCGCGGCGGCGGGGTGCGCGACGGTCGCCCCCAGGACTAAAACGACGCGAAGATGGGGACAAAATCGGATCGGGATCACTCGAAATCTCTGGGAATCGGCGGGTTTGGAGGATGTATTGGGCGCCGCGGCCGCTCTGAGAGCGTTCCCGAACGCTCTGAGAGCTCTCTGGAACGCTCTGGAGCGATTTATCCCGATCCTAGCCCTGTTTTAAGGACGCCGGCCCCCGCCGGCTTGCCCGCCCCGCGGAGCTCTCGAACGAGATCGGCGCGCCCGCGGCCCAAGGGGCTCCGCGGCGGCGGCGCCCCCCGGTCCCGCGGCGCGCCAGCAACGGCGCGGCGAGAAGGCCCGAAAGCACGGCAGGTCGGAAGCCGCGGACGCGTCGAACTGGCACGTCGCGGCTCTGACGTGCCCATCGAAGGGGCGCCGCGCGACCGCCCGGCTGGGCGAGGCCATCTCCCTCGCCGCTCGCTGGAACACGCTGGTCCGCAAATCACCATTGAAAACGACCATCGCCCAGGCAACCTCCGCCCGCGCGCCCGCCACGCGCACCTCCGGCGCGATCAGCTCGGCGACCTCTTCCTCCGGCCGCGGCAGCCCCGCCCGCCCCCGAGGCAGCCGCCCCCCGCCCATCAGCGCCCGCGCCAAGCGGGGGCGGGGCCCGCCGCTCCCCTGCGCGAGCGGCGCCCCGAAGCGCTTCGCCGCCGCGGGCGCCCCGCGTCGCGCCACGGGGCCAGCTCGCCAAGGACGCGATCCAGACGCACCCAACCCGCCCTCTCGCCGTCGAGCCCCGCGCTGAGCGGGCCCGGCCGCGGGCGGCCCGCAGGGCTCCGGGGGGGCCCGCGCAGGGGACGCCCTGCCGCAGCGCGTCGCGCGCTGCCCCGGGGCCCGGTCTCGGGGCTCGTCGACGCCAGCTGCAGCTCGCCGCCCGGCCCAGGCAGCACCCCGCCCGCGACGGGCAGCGCGCGCCCGCGCGGAGATCAGGGGGGCGACCGCGGGCGGCGCCCGCCCCAGCCGCCGCGCCGCCGCCGCCATGGAGCCCACCTGCTGGGCGCGCCTCGCTTCCTGGTCCACGACCTCCACCGAGCCGCGACGCACCCCTCGGAGGACAACGGGCCCCTCGCAAACCACCTGGGCGGCCAGCCAGGCGAGCTCGCGCCCGCCGTCGCGGCAGCCGGCCAACTGAAGCCTGCGACGTGGGAGCCCCGCTGCTCGAGCCCCGCCCCGGGCCCGTCAAGCCGCGCCCCGATCGGGGCACATCGGCGCGTCGGCATGCGAGCCGAGCCCCGCTCTGGCAGCATCCAGCGCGCGGGCACATGCACGGCTCCTGCGAGGCCCCAGGCGGCCCATTGCTGGGCCACGAGGGGCAACGCCCGGCCGAGGCGCGCCCCTTCTCCATCGCACACCCGAGCCTGATGTAATCACCCAGAACAGGACTCGCCCGCCAGAGCATTTGGAATCGCGAAGCGCGCGCCGAAGAGAACGAACAAGCGCGCGACCCTCGAGGGCGATCCCTCCGTGAAGCTCGCCCCCACCCTCCGGGACCTGCTTCTTGTCGTCAGAGCTGGCGGTGCTCATCCCTTCTCTGCGGCTCCGATGCCTCCGATCGAGGGAAGAAGAGCTGGGCGAGCGACGACGGGGCAGCGGCTTCTCACGACGCCCTGCTGCCGCGGGGCTCAAGTCGTATCTCGCAGACGTGGCCTCGGCGGAGCGACGCTCTCAATGCCTCTTGGTCACCGCGGCAAGCGAGGGGGAGACTGGAGTGATTCGGGGTATAGTGAAAGTATGTGAGGCCTGGCCTCGGATGGGACGCTTGGGCCACCCCTCGGCAGCGTCCAAGTTCGAAGCGTCAGGGACACACGTTTCGAACTTGAGCCAAAATGGCTACGGAAGGAAGAGGAGGAGGAGGAGGAGGAGGAGGAGGAGGAGGCGCGGTTCCACAGCGTCTATGCAGCTAGGCGGAGCGAACTAGAGAGCCTGGAGGAGGAGGAGGAGGAGGAGGAGGAGAGGAGGAGGAGGAGGAGGAGGAGAGGAGGAGGAGGAGGAGGAGGACGAGGACGAGGACGAGGATTCGGAGATGAGAGAGGAGGAGGAGGAGGAGGGAGGAGGAGGAGGAGGAGAAGGAGGAGGAGGAGGAGAGGAGGAGGAGGAGGAGGAGGAGGAGGTGGAGGGGGAGGAGATGGAGGAGATGGAGGAGGAGGAGGAGGAGGAGGAGGAGGAGGAGCGAGCGTCCCAGGGCGAGCGGCACACCGCGCCTATGACCGCGCTCGCGCCGAGCCTCCCAGGCTCGCGTGGGAGGTGCACGGGCGGTCGCAGCGTCGAGGGAGCCAGAGCAGTCGTAGCTGTTCTGGTCGCAAGAGCTGTCCGCGAGAGGCACGAGGAGGTGGTCGGCGCCCGACTGGTAGAAGTCGGGGGGGTCGGCAGCCGCAGCGCCGCAGTCGGATTCGTCAATGTTGAGGTCCGCCGCCGCGTCCTTGAGCTCCGCCAGCTCCAGGCAGAGCGGGCCGGTCTCATCGCAGTCGTCCTCGCAAGGGTCAGCACCAGGCGGACCATGCTCGAAGACGCAGCCCGGGTTCATGAGCATCCAGCGGACGAACTCACGCTGTTCGGGGGAAAGCGCTTGACGATCCAACTGAGCAAAAGCGCGGGCGAGCTGCTCGTCATTGAGGGAGGTCGACGGCCCAGCTGGATGCCGAAGTGCATTGCATCAAGAAGGCCAGGAAGAATTTCGGCGAGATCTTCAGCCGCACCATACGCATGGCCAGGGAGAAGAAGCAGAGGTACTCCAGCGGCTCGGGCAAGTGCGTCGGCAGCGTCCTGCAAAACCACCAGCGCCGCTCGCAGGAAGCCTGAATCCTCCACCACCCCATCATGCCCAGCGGCGGCATCAACGGGACCCACCACACAATTCCCTTGGTGCGAGGCAAGGACAGGAGGAGGACCCAGTGCAGGCGTAGGACCCAGCGCAGGTGGAGGACCCAGCACGGGTGGAAGACCCAGTGCAGGTCGAGGACCCAACTCGGGTGAATGGCCCCTGCACAGAAGGATGACCCCGCTCAGGCCGATGAGGATCTTCAGGCAGACGGCCCACACCAGCAGGATGTCCCAGAACGGGTGGAAGCTCAGGTCCAGGAGGAGAAAGTTGCCCAAGCAGAACATCCAGCGGCGGCAGTTGTGGCACGGGTTCAACAGTTGTGGGGACGAAAGTGCGCGCCAGGAGCGGAAGGGGGGAAAGCTGCCGACGAAGCCAAGGAGGCCCCAGGCGTCTCGTCGTCTGAGCCCACCGCGTCATCGATGTGGTCGTGCTGCCCAGGGTAGAACTCGGTCCATACAGGCTCGGCGCTGGCGTCGAAGACGTAGTCGATAGAATTGACCACGAACGGCTCTAGGAGGTTGTCGGCGCCCGTCGGGCAGAAGCCGGGAAGGGCGTCAGCCGCAGTGTCGAAGTCGTATTCGTCAGCGTTGAGGTCGGGCGCAGAGTCCTCGATAGCAGCCAACTCCAGATAGAGCGGGTCGGTCTCGTCGCAACCGTCCGCACAAGGGCCAGCACAAGACAGGCCGTTCTCGAAAACACTATCGGGGTTCATGGGCATCCAGCGGACGAACTCACGCTGCCCAAAAGACAATGCCTGACGGTCCAAATGAGCAAGGGCGCGGGCGAGCTGCTCGTCGTAGCGGAGGGCCGGCGGTCGAGCAGGGCGCAGAACGCCGTCAGGAACGCCAGAAAGATGTTCGGCGAGATCTTCAGCCGCACCATAAGCATGGCCATGAAGACGAAACGGTGGTACACCAGCAGCTCGGGTAAGGGCGTCGTTAGCGTCCTGCAGCGCCGCCATCGACTAGGGCAGAAGGCCTGAATCCTCCGCCGTGGAAAGAAACACCACATGCTCAGCGTGAGCAGCAGCGGGACCCCCATTACGGCCCACTTGGCGCGCAGCAAGGACAGGAGGAGGACCCAGAACAGGTGGACGACCCAGAGCAGGTGGAGGACCCAGCACAGGTGGAAGAACCAGCGCAGGTGGAGGACCCAGCTCGGGAGGATGGCCCAACACAGGAGCATGACCCAGTTCGGGTGGAAGAGGATCTTCAGGCAGGTAGCCCGCCCCAGCAAGGTGAGGCAGCACACGTGGGAGCTCAGGTCGAGGAGTAACAGGTTCTCCAGGTAGAACATCCTGCGGCGGCTGTTGAGGCACGGGTTCGCCAGCTGCAGGGACGAACGCGCTCGCCAGAGTCGGCGGAGGAACATCTGTCGTCGAAGCAGAGGGGGGCCAGAGCAGCTCGTCATCGGAGTCCTCAGTGTCATCCGTGCGGGCGCGCTGTCCATGGCAGCCCTTCCTCGTGAGTCCCATGAGGCCGCGCCGCGGGCGCGGGAATGCCGAAGGCGGGAGGGCACTGCGGGAGCCGGTGGCGGTGGAGCAAACCAGCGCAGGGCCTCCTCACCACCGCCAGGAAGGGCAGAATCCGAGGGGCCACCAGCAGGCCATGAGAACGTCGCCAGAGGACGGCCATCGTCACCGAAGGAGCAGTAGAAGTCGGTGCAGCGATGAGCTTGCAGTCGTCGATCCCGACGTCCATCTCTGCCAAATCGCAGCCTTGTCCATGGTGCTGACTGATGGCCACGACCCGCCCGAGCTCAAGGAGCTGCTCGAGATAGAGAAGCAGCTACTCGACGAGGTGGAAGAGGAGGTAAAGGACGAAGAGCAGAAGGTGGCGGCTGAAAGTGCGGTCTTGGGCGAAGGCCGCGGTCGCCGCAGCCAAGTCCGAAGAGGTAGCCGAGCCTTCGTTCTACCGCCAAGGGAAGCCGCCCTGAGCGCAGCGAACGCGTGAGAGCGCGAAAAGGCGGGCGACCAGATGTCCGACGGAGCCTCGCGGGAGGCTGCGCGACAGCCGAAGTGCATGATGGCGATGTCCAGGACGATCTGGCGAAGGTCAACGACGCTGCCAAGAAGACCAAGTCGGCCCAATAGAGTTCTGGACAAGCGTAGTCCACAGCATGCAGCATCGGCACCGGGGCAGCCGAAGCGGCATGGGAGCCGCCCACGTTCACAAAGAATGCGGTGGGAGGTGGTCCAGCCATTGGCCACAGTCTTGGGATAAGCCAGCGCCCAGGAGGTGGAACAGCCGCGAAGATACATGTCGTTCCACCGAGGCAGCGGAACCACCGAAACGCCCTGCTCGAACATGTCGAGGAAAGCCGTGACAAGGCGAGCGACAAAGAAGTTCCAAAGCGGGACGGGGCGTGGCAGCGCTTCACCACCTGGGGCCCTCAAGCGCATCGCGCGCGGCAGCGCGAGCAGACAGCTGGAGGCCCAGGGGGTAGACAGAAGAGGCGGAATCACCATGCGAGAGGATGTAGAGGGTCTCGACGAAGGCCTCGCTGCGCCAGAAGCGCGGGTAAGGCCGTGAGGAGCCTGCTTGAGCCAAGGACTGATTGTCGCCTGGTCTGCCCTGCTGCCGCTGAAGCCAGTCATGAACTCGAGCGCATTCAGGAAGGGTGCGATGAGCCGTGCGGAGGAGAGCACCGGCACTGAACGCCACCCACAATGAGATCGTCGGTCCTCCCGCCAGGTGCAGTTGGAGCCACGCCGATGTGGAAAAGGCACCTATGGTAAGCGGAACGCGCGTGCCAAGGAGACCAGCTCCCCTCTGACCAACCATCTCGGCATAAGACGATGTTGCGCCACGTGCGATGAGACTGTGGTGATGCGGGTGTTCCAGCGCGTGGGCCTCACGTTGGACTAACGTCAAAGGAGGAGGAGGCGGAGGAGGAGGAGGGGGCAACCGCGGGCAACGCTTGTGCAACAGGCGTCATGAGTAGCTTTGCCGCCCGGGGCCGCGGCGACTCGGGAGGGGAACGGGAGGAAAAGAAAGGGGTCGGGGGCGCTTCGCACTGCAGCGCGCACGACAAGGAAATGGCGACCTTCATCCCTCCTCCTCCTCCTCCTCCGCCTATCCTCCTCGCCTCCACCCCCTCCCCGTCCTCCGCGATGGGGGGCCCGCTCGGGGAAGACGCCAACTCTCCAGTATAGGCCACGCTCCGCGTTCGCTGCCGTGCCTTCGGCCTTCGGCCCACTCGGTACCCGATCGACCGCCTCCTTCCTCCTTCCTGGAGCAACGAGCTGGAACTGGCGATGCGTCGCCAGTAGATCGGCGATAGGCCTCCGAGTGCGAGTCGGCACGTTCCTGGGCGAGGTGGGCTATCGGCCACCCTATCAGGAGGAAAGAGCGATTGGGGGTCGATGAGCCTGTCCCCACCCAGCGTTGCCCTGACCTTCTCCTCTGCGACGAGGGGCTCCTGCCGGCGCGACGACGACGTTGTCCAGCGGCACCTCCACCGGCACCTCCAGCGATCGATTCTTGAAGTCCCCCGCCGCGCCTCGCGGACGGAACGCCGACCGAAATCCGACGATCGAGGCTCAAGTGGTCGAGGCTCAAGACATTGATGGACAAATACTCCTCCACCAACACCACAAGTAGGGCGGTGGAGAAGGGAGGATGGGGAGGTCCTCCTCCATTCCTTCTACTGAAAAATAATCTTTCACTGTCGCACACCGAAGCCAGTTTTTAGGGCGGGCTGGGCGTTGCGCCTAAGACTTCCTCACCACTTATGACTCTGAAGCTAAAAAGGTGTCAACAGCTTCTCATATGGAGGGCGGATGGTTTTCAAAATGTGGCTCTCGCCTTAGCGCCGCGCACATTCGTTAAAAATGCAGAAGCTTCACGGATTGAGGGCGGGTCGTTTTCAAAATGTGGCTCTCGCCTTAGCGCCGCGCACATTCGTTGTGAAAAATTGCAATAGCTTAACAGAGTGAAAGAGGGTGGTTTCCAAAATGTGGTTCTCGCCTTAGCGCCGCGCACACCCGTTAAAAAATGCAAGAGCTTCACGGATTGAGGGCGCGTGGTTTTCAAAATGTGGCTTTCGCCTTAGCGCCGTGCACATCCGTCTTAACAATTTGCAAGAGCTTCACGGACTGAAGGCGGGTCGTGTTCAAAATGTGGCTCTCGCCATAGCGCCGCGCACATCTGTTTTAAAATGATGCCTGACTTTCACGGATTCCCATGATCAACATACCACACATGGTGTTTTGGACGGATTCAGGGTTTTGCGAGCGCAACAATTATGTTGATTCGCTGTGTTGAAAATCCCAAAAACAGCGTTCTGGCAAGATTCTGGATCGTCAAGACGCAGCAGTCAGGTTGATACGTGGAAACTCGAGAACAATGTTCTGGCACGCTTCAGGAATTTGAAACTGTTGCCTTCGATCGAAGCAGTTCCCTCAGTGGAAATGAACCGTTGTAAAGGGCCTATGAAGGGGGAGCTTGGAGGGAGGGTCAACTCCAACATCGTTGATGACTCGTGGGTTTCCAGTGGGCCTCCTCCTCCTTTTACTCCTCCCCCTCCTCTTCCTCCTCCTCCTCCTCCCCAGCCTCCTCCTTTTCCTCTTCCTCCTCCTCCACCAACTACTACCACTAGTCGCAGCGTCACTACCACTACTACTGATACGACTACTACTACTACTACTACTACTACTACTACTACTACTACTACTACTACTACTACTACTACTACTACTACTACTACTACTATACTACTACTACTACTACTACTACTACTACTACTACTACTACTACTACTACTACTACTACTACTACTACTACTACTACTACTACTACTACTACTACTACTACTACTACTACTACTACTACTACTACTACTACTACTACTACTACTACTACTACTACTACTACTACTACTACTACTACTACTACTT